TTTTTGAATGTTCAAGGGAAATTAATCGTGCATGATAAAAGGGACATCAATATAGCAGAGGTTGAGAAAATTTTGAGTGTTTTACTTAGACAGAGTTTGAGGAACACAAAAGTTTGATCTGAGGACACATTTATTATTTATTTATTTAACCAATTTAAGGGAATAACACACATTCATATCATTAATTTCACTCAATCTATTATTCATGTGGAGGTAAGTGTATTATGATTATTGTATATTTTAATATTATTTAAAATTACACCAGGATTTATCAGATTAATTCTTAATTATGATGTTAAAACCCTCCCACCATATTAGAAGCATTGATGCTTACAAAGATTATTATTGATTAATTTTATTATATTAATCATTCAATTCTTTGATTTATTTCGGTTAAATTTAGACTTTGCTATTAATCTTAAAATTCATTTGATGCTATTTTAGTGTTGGATATTCTGGAATCTGAAAAAACATCATTTGGCATTTCTAAAGCCACTTGTTATTCATATATTTCCATTTTGATAGTCAACCTACATAGCATATCTCAAATCAACATTGTAATATTTGAGAGTAAAATCCTGTTCTAAATATTTGGATTAAGAATAGATCATGAGTTGATCATTTACAGAATTATCAGGAAGTTAGTATATCTGTAGGGAATTGCAGCTTAAGCTATTTTCAAATCATTTTAAATATAAACACCAGAATAATTCAACAATAACGATCAATAAATATTCCAGGCAAGAGATGGGATCTAAATATCTACTCAATACTTAATTATATGTAAATGGTTAAACCTTACAATTGTATGAATCGTAAATCAACTATAACTTGTGATTTAAAGATTAAGAAGTAGATAATATATCAAGAGTACAGTATAGGTTGGGATTATTGAATTTTTAATGAAAGTAAAACAAATTGTTGTGAAATTATTTCCCCTCCATAATGAATAATGATAGAGGGGAATAGGAAAACTCATATTTTAGTTATATAAATAAATATCCAAATTAAATCAGATAACAAATAAGTTGCAATTAAAGCGAAATTCCAATCGAAAATTCTAAACCTCACTCCTGCAGTTAATCTTAAAAAGTATAAATTTTCCTTTCTGGAACTATAAAAATAATTTGTGCCATTACTTTAAAAAAGTGGTCATTTTATAGTTAAACAGAACTTCATGTATTTTTAAACGTGAGCTTGTTATATAGGTTGAATTCTTAAAAAGATATTAATAATAATAATAATTTATTTATATAAAGTGAATAACCCAATCACTTTTACAGCCCCGCTTCCCCTTAGGTGGATCTGGGACAGCAACAATTGCCTTCCAACGATGGACAACATTGCCCTAAGGTGTTTCCTCAATCATCTCACAGTCTTTCTGCTTGGGTTTGGGGTTGAG